ATTGTCTTCCGCCAGTTCCCGGGTTTCCGGGTTTCCAGTGCAAGTTGTCAGTTGGCGTGTTTTGGGACAAGATGCGCAGGCCAAGGCAACATTCCCGGTTATTCCAAGATCATACTTAGTCCACGTGGTGAACATGGCTTCCCATGCCGACTCGGACCCTCTCCTCCCCAAAACAGGGTGGTCTAACCGCATGTGTTGATGCTCCCGAGAGGGTAACGTTAGCACCGAGGATACTCGCATACGCAGACATGAGTCGGTGAGAGACATGAAGTTACTTTTAGACGCAATAAATTACACTATTGGGCGGCTCACGGACAAGACGCCGAACAGGGGGGACGCGCTGGGCAGGTATGTCACAGGGATTATAGCACGCTAGAAGAAAGCTGGAAAGCTTCTCGTGTATGGCCATGTGCGGAAAAAGACCGAATTTTGGATAGCAAAAGTGATGTCTGTGCGGCCCGATGCGCGCACCTCCTCGCCTAGCAACACTAATAAAACTGCAGGCGAGGGGGGGGGGGGGGGGGGGGGGGGGGGGGTAAACCGTAAGGGTGACTATTCCGAGCCAACAGTAGCCTCGGCCATGTCCAAATCTGATAGTCGATCCAATACTCGACACCACGGACCATCAAATCGGGGGCGCATGCCTTGCCTTGCGTCTGTCTGTCGGTCGTAGCGCCGTGCTCGGCCGGCGCACACGTGGCAAAGGCGCCTGAGGTGGTCATGGTGTTGCAGTTTGGGCTGCTACCTGCCCGTTGAGCAACGCGGTGAGAGTCTGAGGTGGTGGTGCTGTCTCGGTGCGGTACCGGCAGTGGGTGGGTGCGCATACGAGCAGACAAGACATATCTTTGAGGACCTCCGTCTCTATCCTTGCGCCTTGCAGGACCTTGTTCTTCCTGGAGGGTTGCATTTTAGATAATTTTATCTGGGCGAGCAGCGCCTATCCCACACACCTGGGACCGCAATTGGCTTGGCACTGGGCTGGGTGCTGAGGTGGAGCGCTGGGAAAGGACCTATCTTCGCTGCAGAAACGTGTACATATGCCTAAGACTCGCAACCCAGCCATGCACGCTCATGGGCTGGGTTGCATTGCGAGTTTTTCTCTTCTCAAGCAGGGAAAGCAGAGAAGTAATACGCGGCCATAATGGCAAGTCGTGCGGATAACACGGAACTCACGGATGCTTTCCACGTGGGCTTTGGGCTCAGCGTCGAGAGACACGGCTCGGAGCTTGTTCTCACGGGAGAAACAAGCACCCTACTTGCAGGCCCACAATCCGCTGCAGCGGGTGGACGGGTGGGCAGACGGAAGCAGCAAAGGCGGCCGATGTTTCGGATCCCAGAGCCGGGTTGCCTTCTAGAACCCACAGCTAATAAAGTAGAGAGTAAATGGCGCAGCGGGCACAGTGGAGCCGCCAATATATGATGTTTGATGTTATGAGCACAGTAATTTGGAGCTCGTGAGCCTCACTGACCTCATCTGAGTCGGAGCATTATCTTCTTGGTGCTTGTGGGCAAGACGAGCGAAGGAATCGTTTGCGGCCGCATTCGGCCCCCCACCCAGGGCTTGCGAAGCGCCCCAACGACAGCTAATAATATCAAAGAAATTCCAACCAGGGAGGACCTTCCCTAGCCAAGTGTCTGCAGCATGCACGCTTTGACGAAACTAAGTTGCACTTTCCCGTTCAGCGCGGTTGTCGTGGACACGCTCAGCAGAGTCAGCAAAGGGTTACGGTAGAGGGCAGGTACTTAGCAATTTCCTCCCCGCATCCCTGCTGCTCCCCCGCAAACCGACGCACAAAATGCAATGGCGCCGCCCTCCCGCATGTCGCTTCCTATGCGAATCTTGGCCAACTCGTCAAAACATGCCTAGCGCGAGGGGGAACGAAAGCCTGCTCCAACTTCCCCGTAATCGAATCCACCCGCCCTCTCCGATAACCCTGCCCTGCACTGCACTGGAAGCAACTCTCGGAGATGTGGGAGGTTTGCGGGCTTTTTGGAAAGAGAACGCTTGGGATTGTTGAGGAGGGAGCATCTAGAGGCCAGGTGACTCTGCATGCAACACTCGATGGATGTCGATGCCACGAGCTGGGCGAGCTGAGTGCGTCTTGGCTGGGCGGGTGGTCCAGACAAAGCTCAGAGGCTGGCAGCACAGCGCATGCGTCGCGACGCACCCAAGCATCTCGCTGAGTGGCCCGCCCAAGGCCAAGATCAAGCAGGGTTGCCGGTGGCAGGAAATCGCAGCAAATAGGAGGAAAGCAGCTCGGAGAATAGCTGCTCTCCCAGTTGAGTTGCCTGCCCAAGTGCCGATGCCGCTGGGAGGCGACGACGCGGACGACACAAGACCACCCACCACCTCCCACTTCCGTCCCGTTTGCCGTCGGCGCTGTTCGGGACAACATCATTCGCCAACCAAGAAAAGGCTGGGTTTACCACACCTCAGTCCACGACCAAAATGGAACCGTGGCGTCGGCCATCCTGCCTTGAGTGGTCTCCCACTGGCCAACAGCGGCTGGGCGAGGGCGGGCCTGTTTGTTGGTGAGCCTGCGCTCCGTCCCTCCACGAGACGGCACGGCTTGACTTCCCGCCTGGTCGTGCCCGCATGCATGTCGGTGATCCCTGCAACTCCGTACGAATTTCAGTCCTGCAACGCGCCCTGTGCCCATGCTCGTACTGTCCCCCTGAATCTTGACTGTGCGCAGATTGGGGAAGCATAGGGGGATTCAAGAGGGGGGCGACCATCACCAAGGTCGACCGAACAAGGGGCTGGACTATTTTCAACACTCTTATTTCAACCTCGCCGGCCCGCGCTCTTGCCTATTGAGGACGTGCATGACAGAGTTGCAGCCAATGCAGCGTTTCCCACTGCCTGCCCAGGGCTCTACCAGGCTAGCCAATGTTTCCACCCTGATCCCTCCCTCTGCCCTGGGACAACATGCTTGACCCATAACCGCCCACGACACGGAAATGCCTCCCTAGTCCAGCCCCTCGGTGCTAGGCCAAGACTTTGGGTTGCACTGGAACAGCCTGCTCGTCAAGCATCCCAATGTCTATAATAACTCCGACGGTCCGCCCCGAGGCCGCTCACCGGTGCCAGTAACCTCAACCCACGGGCTCGGGAGAAAGGTTGATCATCCATCATGATGCTTCTCAAACCCATCCTCTGTCTTACGGCAGCCCTCTCCGCCTCAGCCACCATCCTCCCGTCCTGGGATCAACTTGCCGTCGACTCGGGACTGGCTCTGGCCGGACTTAATGGCATTGCTCTACTAAGTGCTCTCGGGAATTTCGGGGGAGGATGCACGCCGGCGAATGTCAAGATTAGACAAGAATGGTACGCTCTTTGTCCTCTTGTTCCCAAAGACCGCTGCCCGAAAGAAAACACGTTCTAACTGGACAACAGGCGGACACTGACTTCGACGCAACGCAAGAACTATATCTCGGCAGCCAAGTGCATAATCGCGTCCAAGAGTCTGTTCCCGGCTGGTCAAGTGCCGGGCTCATTCTCCTTGTTTGACGATTTTGTCTGGGTACACTTGAATCAGACGCTCAATATACATTTGACAGTGCGTATCCAGGTCCCGAAAATCCATCGAGTGAGTAGGTAATAAGTACTGACAGCCTCACAGGGAACCTTCCTCACGTGGCACCGCTACTACATCCACGTCTATGAGCAGAAGCTCAAGGCGTGCGGCTACACAGGTTTGTTCGAAAATTTCTCCTGAATCTTGCACAACCAGACTGACAGACGGCCAGGCAACCTTCCCTACTGGGAGTGGGGATTGGACGTCAACTCGCCGCGTGACTCGCCCATCTTTGACGGGTCTGACACGTCTCTCGGTAGCGACGGCGCGGCCGTCTCACACCCGGGGCTGCAGCTGCAGCTCCCGGCGGCGACCAGCGTCCTGTCCCTCCCGCCGGGCACGGGCGGAGGGTGCGTGAACAAGGGGCCGTTCAAGGACATCACGCTGCACCTGGGCCCGGTTGCGCTGCCCATCTACGGCTCGCTCAACTTCACCTCGGCCGCCAACCCCAGCCTGAACAACCCACGCTGCCTGAAGCGCGACCTGAACCCCTACGTGCTCAAGCGGTACAGCTCGTTCCGCAACACGACAGAGCTAATCACCAGCTATAACAACGTCGAGTTGTTCCAGGCCATCATGGTACGTGTCCCGCCGCATGTCCCACCGCATGTCCCCTTTGCATGACCGCGAGAACTGACCGAGATCCCTTCTTCCCTTCTGTACAGCAAGGCGACGGGCGCTATCTCACCTACCCGAGCCTCGGCGTGCACGGCGGCGGCCACTTCACCATGGGCGGCGACCCGGGCGCAGACCCCTTCATCTCGCCCAACGATCCCGCCTTCTTCCTGCACCATGGCCAGATCGATCGCGTCTTTTGGATCTGGCAGATGCTCGACTTTACCAACCGCCGGGTAATAATAAGTTCACTCCCATTGCATAGTGGAGAAAACGACTAACACAGCTCGCAGGGCGTCTCCGGGACAAACACGTTCCTCAACTTCCCGCCCAGCGCGAACACCACCGTGAACGATTTAATTGACATTGCGCCGCTATCGGCAGACAAGCCGCAGATCAAGAGCTTGATGAATACGGTCGGCGGGACGCCGTTTTGCTATGTATATATCTAATTCTGAGAGAGATGCAGACCGTGCCGAGTGTATATAGCTGTGGCGGAACTGGTGGTTTTTGGGTTTGGTATAGCAATTTGAATATTTTGACTCCATATATAACAGAATGATAGATCACGTCTATGCTGGGGCTTGTGAAAGTTAAACAAGGCCATGAATGGTGGTTTGATGAAGAGCAGAGGAAAGGAAAATGCTGTTATTCCGCTCCTATTACCTGCCTAGCTCTAGCGATACATAATGGGATTAAATAAAAAAATAGAAGTTCGGATGAAAGAGACTATAGTTGAGAGAAGCGTTTAGCTCCACTGCAAAAGGGCAAAAGTCTAGGATCGTGGGGAAAAAAAACAAAAGATTAAGGTCTTGCCCGGAATCGAACCGGGGTTGCCGGAAAGAGCTGAGAGGGTCAGAATCCGGAGTGATAACCGCTACACTACAAAACCGACTGAAGGCTTTGATCGACTTTGATGATTGGAGCTGCGTTTCGGCTGCATATGAGGTCTGGGCCCTATGGTGGGGTAATCTGCAAATCCGGACGGCGGTGGAATCCGCGCTAACAATTATTTTCTAGAACTGTATTCCAGGTTCGCTCCACTACGCCCCACCAGACCTCTCCTGGAATTCTTTCCAGCGGTTGGGATGGAGTGGTTCATCACATTTTGACAACCAAGAGATTTACACATAAAATGAGCGGATTTTTGTCCCTTTCAACTCGGCGGTGGCAAAGCTACCGTATCCACTCGTTGGGTTCAAACTCACTAATGCACAACATCATTCGTCTACAATTCTCAATTGGCTATAGATTTATGGAGAAGAGAGCACCGGAAACCGGTGGGTCCAAAAAACGAAGTTAGCAAATGAAATACTGTACCCCCACCCCTCCCTCCCGTACCTGGAAAAAGACGTCTCAGTTTACCGAGATAGCTCAAAGAAGTAATGAACCTCCCGCCCTCTTTACCCCCTCCGCGCGCTTAAGTGGGATGGTATGTTGGGCAGGATCCTGAGAGCCAACGAATGATTGAAGGAGATTTCACACACACATCATCATCAATGTTTTGGCCTCTAAAGATTATGAGGCTGGAATCGGACCCTAATTACTGTTATGTTACCCCGACGCGCTCGCGCGGGAGTGCGAGGCTCGAGGCGGCATGACCACGCTGGCCATTAATAGCTGAAAATTAAACACGCAGCAGGAGATTTCAGTCGCCTACCGACGCACCATAGCCCTGATCATACATGAGCCCAACCGCTGCTCGTAGTGGATTTATCTCCCCCCCCCCCCCCGCCTTTCGTTTCCAGAACCTGATCGAATGTCAAATATAACGAACGACTCGGATAAAATTACCTCCCTCCCCCGGCCATGAAGAGAAGGGGCGGACATCAGTATGGAATCTGACGCCTCTAGCCACTACGGTAAGCCTGTTAACCCCCCCCCCCCAACAAAGCGTGCTCCCGCCCCGAGTAGCTAACCGTATTATTCAGCCAAGGGGGTTTTCCTGACCAATATTGATTCTCTTTCCAAGCGGTCCAGCAAAGATCACCCCTATCCGAGACCCGATCTCATCAATTTGAACCAATATTTGAGCAATTTCACGCCCTACCGCTCGCAGGTTGACTTCCCAGAAACAGGAGCTGCGGCAGTCGAGAATGATGAGGCCGGCAACGACTTTGCACTGAGTCACGACATCGGTTTTGGCAATGCTGTTCGATTTCCAGCGTCGATGACAGGTCTGGCCGAGTTCTCGGCCCACGGCGCGGCAGAGGGGCCATCGTTGCTGTTCCTCCGCGGTTTTGCTTCACCGCAGTGGTTAACGGCAATTGGAAAAATATACAACCCCAGTCCCGAGCTATACCGACGACATCTCGACTTTCCGTCCATCGTTTCAGGAAATCGAGACCTGCACTCGTCGCCATCGCTACCATCCTCATCCGCTCGCGTCTTTCAACTCACCATTCCTACCATATGCACCCGCAATGTCGACGTCTCGGGCTATGAGCCCGAAGACCTGCAACAAGCTCGGAATGTCGAGTCGGAAGCCATGATTAAGTATTTCCAGCAGCTGCGCGCCAAAGGAAAGGTGGCCGACTCAGTGGTTCGAAAATGCCTCCTGCTGAGCCAGCAAGAGTATGTCGTGGAACAGACAGTCACTGTTGAGGTTGGGCCGCCAGGAAAGGACTGGCGCGCGGTTATCTAGTTAGACAGCGGGAATGACCTGTCTGAGAGCATCCAAGGACCGTGGAACCCGCGACCTGATACTAGGGCCTGGGAAACCTACTTCTTTCCTGTCATCGTGCACCACCACCACTGGCATCACAACCACGACACCGCGGATCTTGCACGCTACCGATCGGGAGGGAAACGTCCCGGGCCGCGGGAACCGCGCCGACACTCATCCGGCGTGGGCCTCACGCCCGCCAAGGCAAGCCTATCCCACAGCAGAAACAACAACCGCAGCAGCAGCAGCAGCAGCAGGAGAAAGTCGGGGGACGAATGGAGGGCCGCGCAAAACATCTCGCAGCTGCCCTTCCAGTACGGATCCTGTCTCGACCGGGATCTGGCCCGACACGACGCGCTGTACGCGCTGAGCGAGCTCTTCCGCTTCGCCGCGTCGGCGGAGCTCCAGTTTCTGAGCCTGCTCCAGAAGCGCATCGAGCGCGAGGTTTCCTTTGTCGGGGCCAAGGGTGTCGACCTCCAGGGCGGCGGCAGCGACTCGGTGGTGCTGCTGAATCTGAAGTACCTTAAAACGCAGCTCACGTCGCACGCCCAAAGCCTTGCAGAGACGACGGCAAGAATCCTGCGCAACCGGCGATCCCCCGACTGGCCACGCGTTTTCGACGCCGCCGCCGCCGCCGCCGGAGGCTTTCGTGGTGATGATGATGACGGCGGCGGCGGTGGCAATGGTAATGTCTCCCCCCCTGCGGCTGTGGAAATGGCAGAGAAGACGGCCGTCCTCCTGCTCGCCGACTTTGAGTATCTCCTCCAGCGGGCCGACGCGCTCGCGCGGGAGTGCGAGCACGGCATGACCACGCTGGCCAATAGCTCGGTTCTGCAAGAGTCACGGCGCTCCGCCGACCTGGCCATGACGGTACAGAAACTCACCATTATCAGCACCATCTTCATCCCCTTGTCGTTTGTGTCCTCGGTGTGGGGGATGAACTTCCAGGAGCTAGGCTCGGGCAACCAGCCCATCTGGATGCTGTCGGCGACGGCGGTGCCGATTGTGCTGGTCGCTTACATGCTGTACCAGTGGGATACCATCACAATGTTCTATCATAAAATCCGGTCTTCACGGGGCACAAGGGCGGCAATGGGGGCGTGAAAGTTGTCCTTGTCTATTATCTACGGTGCAACAACAGCACAGATGTCGTTTTTAGATTCATAATTACAGTACGGAGCCTCAGGCAAAAAGAAAGTGTCACCTTCCCCAGTACCTTCCCAGGGCAAGGTTCAGGACGCCACATTCTAGAATTGGCTAAGCTTCCTACGCCAGGTTAACAAGCCAATCTTCCACAATGTAAAAGATAACGATTCAGGGGCTATTACAGGGGGATTATCGATTCTAAAGCCCTGGGCCGGCACCTGGCAAGATAGTTCGTACTGTGGGAGTTCAAAACTTGGCTACTGTGGAGGGTGACTCTTCCTTTTTGCCCGAGCCTCCGTACATACCTACCTTACCTGCCTATATACGCATAAATGTACCTTACATATGGACTTGATTGAAACCAAAGGGTTATTTCATCTTCAACCATTACCTGGGGAGGTGGAACCACGATCCTCTGCAAATTCTTATTGTAAGGAAACTCGAGGCAGTCAAGGGCCACCTGGAAGAGTATGTGGGGGGGTGGGGGGGGGGAGCTGTGATCCTGAAAATGGCCTGCCTGCCTGTCCAGCTGGCTGCGCTGCTGCCGCGGCAAGCGAGAGACCCTCTGGATTGAAGAAAAATAGCTCGACAACTGCAAAAGGGTGTATGATGGTAATGATGAGGTAATGCGATATATAGATTAAAGTTGGTCACGAAAAAAAAGCCAATACCCGGCGGAAGCACGAAGCAAAAGTCTAACACGCAAGGTTCTCGGATCCCGGCTGACTACACGATGAGGTAGTATCACACCAGTTGAGTCGTGAAAAGGTGATTGTCCAAAGTCGTCGCGCAGCGTGGGAGGCTGGGCTGGGCACGCCGGCACGGGAGGATGGGATGTGGTGGGGTATCCATTTCCGTGTCAGCCTGTGGTTAGCCACAGCCCTCGACTTGCCATGTTGTTTTACCCTCACCAACCCCGGTCAGCCGCACCACCTTGCTCAGGAGCTACTCAGGCGTTGCTCAGGCGCTGCTCAGGAAATGATCAGAGAAATCGCCAAACATGGTTTAGACGAGTAGGCAGTACTCTGCGGTTCGAATGGCAACTTTTCGCGAGGTCCCAGTTTTTGGGACACAAGTGGCCCAAAACTGGCACACCCCCCCCCCCCCCCCCCTTTCCCCCAAAGTCACATAAAACCCAGTTTATGTCCCCCATTAGGTCTCTATTCCCGTCTTCCTCATTCACGAAAGTAGGTAAATCTTACCCTTAAGCTAAGACACTCCCTAAACGGATTACGTCATTTTTTTCCATTAGTTGTTAGACGCGGCCTGTTGGAATCACCAGGGTACCGGTACTGGAATCAACAGATGCGCTGCGCGCCGTAAGCTGGTGGTTCAAGTGATGGATTCGTTGTGTGTGTTCTATCTATCTGTTCCCCTGAGCGGGCCGCTCCAGATATCTGGGCCTGCGCCACCACAGCCACAGTGCGGCTGAGCCGCAGAGCCCCTTGACTGATATGCGCGTTATTCCAACACTGGAAAAACCTCTCTTTTGAGGCTGGAAAAACGCGCTGCAGATATATATACATATACACTTCGAAAAGGGACGAATACACTTCTTCCACCCGGCCTCTCTTACCGAGAGACCCATCCTTCCATACGGACCGTAAGGCTGTTACCGCCGATGAACCGTTTAAGGGCCCGGTTAGGTATGGCCTTTATTAGGGCGTCGGCTGGGTTGTCGTCGCCGTGGATCCACCTAACTTCGTATAGCTCACGTCGCTCGTATGACTGCCGTAAGGCCATGATATCGATCATCAGCCTCTTTTCCTTTGTTGTCCCTAGCTTGACGAGGCACTCGTATAGCGAGTACGAGTCTGTACAGACAACCGTAGGTACGGTAGGTAGGTTGAGGTGCTTGGTGACCATCTGGATCGTAGAAGCCAGGGCGTAGGCCATGTCTACGCCGGCCACCATACCGTAGACCTCGGAAGCGAGTACGCTACGTGTGACTCGCTTGCTCTTTGTGCTGGAGAAGTGAATGATGTTACCGTGAATGGTAAACTGGGACTCTATCGTATCCTCGTTGGCCAGGATGATCACGAATCCGAGTTATGATGTGAGGTCCCGGTTATTGGCGAAGG